AAGTTTTTTCAACTGGAACTTTCCCTCGGCTTGAGTTTTCGGAAACATCTGTAAGAAGTTATAGTTTATCATATTGATTTTTTATTCATTTCAGACTGCATTTATGCTTCCTGATAGTTTAAAATCTAGTGAAGTTTTGCAAACTTTTAATACGCTTAATATATTGATTTCGTTGAGGCTATCTTTGTATCAAGTAATACCGTATCCTATGGTATTTTATGTTGTAGAAAATGGGAGGGCTAAATTTGTAGTTAAAAATGAATTTGTGATTTTTTTGAGTTTTGTTGGTGAAAATATTTCTAAGATAGATGATTTTGTATGGTTTTTAGTTGATTTTGAATGGAATTTTGACGGTGCGCCTATTATAAGTGATGATATAAAAGATGAGATTGAAAAATTTGCTAATGAAATTTTGAAATCATCTCTCATTCAAAAAAAAGAACCTTTGGTAGAATTATATAATTTTCTTCGTAAGTTTTATATTAATTTTATTTTTTTTAATACTTTAAGATAAATTTACTCTGTTTTATAAATTTGAAGCTATTGTTACTGAAGCAAAAGAAATGTCTTTTAAAGGATGGAAAGATAAACTTAATGTTAGTTTTGATAATTTTAAAAGAATTTTGACACTGAAATATTGGCCAGTATTGTAGAAGATGTTATCTTTTATATTTATTTTTAATTAGTTTTAGGACCTCTTCAGAAAAAAATATTAAAAGTTGGCCTAATTGTATCGGAATATTTGTTGGTGAGCCTAAAAAGAAAAATATTGCTAGTTATATGTTTCCATATAGTCGAATATCATTTGATTATGATTGTTCGGTAATATCCTATTCTTGGAAGATTGGCGATGATTTTCAATGCTGTGATAATCTTAATATAGTGATTTAAAGTTTTGTAAGGGATGTTTTTTAACTTCTTTAGGATGAATCAAATATATCTGCTAAAGACATAATATCAAAAATTATTAATTTTCATTCAATGATATTATTGAAAAAGGTGTATTCAACATTATTAGAGTCTGATAGTTTTTCAAGTAGTTCGGTGTTTATTTTTACTAGTAATGAAAATAATGAAAATCCCATTTTAAAAATTCTGTGTTCGAGAGGAAAAAGTATATTAATTTTTGTTAAATCTATGTGTGGAAAGTTCAGACTTGTGGAATACGATTCTTTTTTATGTTCATCTTTAATTATAAAAAATTACGAGAAACTTATTAATATTCCGAATCAGAATATACTAGAACTGCTTATTCGATTAAAATGCAAAATATTGTATGATGATATTGAGTCAAAGGCTAAATTTTTAGGTTGGGAGGTTGTTAAGTTCCCTTCTGGATCTTTTAAACAAAAAGATTTTAAAGATAATTTTGGGTTAGAAAATAAATATACAATCTTTTTGACAAATTCTATATTAGGCTGGAATCAACCATCTTCTAAAAGTATTTTTTTTGTTGTATGTTTATTATCTGGACATAATATCAATTGGTGGCTTTTGGAGGCAGCTATTTCGAAATATGACACTTTTTTAGGGTGGAATATTTTATGGTCTGAAAAAATACAAATTCATGATGGGAAGAAATGGAAATTTAGTGAATTAGATTTTCCAATGATTTTTGATCTTTCTCCAACTTACATTTTGCTTGAAAGTATCTGTAAATATTCTATAATAAGAGTGGCAATTCTTCAATTTTCTCGAGATCTTGATATGCGAGGTATTCATTATGGATATTTGCATGATTTTTCTATTTCTCAGTTATGGATAATACCATTTTTTCATTTTTATACTGCAGATATTTCTCCTTTAGCCAAAGTTTGGACTTGTAAAAACATGTTTGCTCAGTTTTCGTTTTATGGAAACTCTTTTAATGAACTGAAAATTGTTTTTTATGGGAAATTGACTAATCTTAAATTTTTAATAGTTTTGATGCAGCAATATAAAAAAGATGATATTGAACTTAAGGTCAAATCTAGTTATTTTTTAATAAAAGTTATTTATAGAATGGGTAAAAATATATCTTTAGTTATTGATTTGTTTCTTGAATTATGGTTAAAAATTGAAACGATTATTCGATTTGTTTTTAAATCAAATGAATTTACTCATTTCTTAGTATTAGAAAGTTTCAACATAGATGCTATTAAGTTTTCTTATTATAAAAAAAATCATTTTTGGTTGGAAATTGGATATGATAGTACTCAGAAGGTTAAATTTCCTTCCATAAAGTATTTTCTTGAAATTGGTGCTGTTGATGGTTATATAAATCCTCATGCTAGGATTAAAACTCACCTTTGTCAAATATTAGAAGATTCTCGTGGAAATATTCGTTTATTTTCTGAAATTGTTTATAAAACTCTTCCTTTTTTGGAAGCTATTGAGCAATTAGAGTCAATGTCACCTGAGAAATCTGAATTTCATGTATTATTTCAGTCTTCGTTACAATTTAGTATTGTATATGTAAAAAAACGGCATGCATTGGGTGTTATATTAAGGTCCACTCCTTCTCATTTATTAGATAATGATACGATTATACTTAATGAAGGAACACTTGTATATTATATTTTTGATTTGGCGTTAAAGTATCAAATAGATTTTTTAGAGGCGTCTAAAATAAAAGGACAAAATTCTGAGAATGGTGTTGTTAACTCGGAAAATATTGTGAGTGCTAGGGCTAAGAAATTAAATTATTTAAAATCTACGTATAATGTGATTGAGGCATGTCAATTTATATGGAGTAAAGGAATTGATGTTGGAGAAGAATACAGAAAAGCTGTTTTTCCTGTAGAGAACGGCTTATTGTGCACTTCAGATGCAATAAATTGTGTTATTAGTAAAATACACAGTATGATTTTGGGATATGAAAATACATAGCATGATTTTGGGATATGAATTTAGAATAAAATAAGGATATATTTTTGGTGTTAATATCTTGTAAATATTTATATATGTAAATAAAAGGTTGGAAGTAGGAATGGTTTGAGGATATTAGAGTAAAATGTTTTATAATTTATGATAATTATTTTTTATTATTTTTATAGATGGTTTAAAAAATGTTTCGTTTTTTTAAATCGTTCTTATATGCTTATATAAACATATGTTTGTGTAATAATATTAGTATATATTTTATTTCTTTTGTTCCTGTTCGCAGATTTTATCTCGATAGTTAAAAGTTCTACAACTTAAAAATCAAAGAAACTTTAATTTGATAAAAATATATAAAAAAATACAAATAATTTTAAACTTTGTAGAAGACATAAAAGGAACAAGTTTTCTTTTTTTGCATTAGTATTAGATTTTTTTTTAGAAAAAAAGTATTAACGAAATTATTATTTATCAACGAAATTTTATAGAACTATTAACATGGAACAAATGTCTGACATTACGGAAATTCAGAAAGTTTTTTCTGCATGTATTGGTGCTTTGGTTACATCCGTTGTTGTTACGCCATTCGATTTGATTAAAACAAGGTTACAAAGTCAAACAGTTGATGCAAATATAATGAAATCATGCTGCCGAGATGTTCTTTATTCATCTACACATTCCCAAAATATTGGGTCTTTCTCCTGTGCACTACATCCTGATGTTGTCTTACATCACTTCTGTGTGGACCGTTCCGCTGATGTTTCAAAATACCAATTTAATGGAATGTTAGGAACAATGATTAGAATTTCTCGGAATGAGGGATTTACTGCGTTATGGAGAGGGTTGTCTCCTACTTTGTGAGATTTACATTTATTGTATGGTAATTCATTTAATATTTTTTAGAGTTATGGCTCTTCCATCTACTGTTATTTATTTTGTTGGTTATGATCATCTTCGTCAGTATTTTTCTTCGCCTGTGGCTCCATTGTTTTGTGGCGCATTTGCCAGAACCATGTCTGCAACTGTTATTTCACCTTTGGAGCTTTTTAAAGTTCGTCTTCAATCTGCAGTACATCATCCGTGTTCTACTTCAATATTTTTTACTGTGGTTAGCGGTATTCAAGATATGGTAAAAACGCAAGGTCTTAAGAGTTTATGGAAGGGTCTGAGTCCTACTTTATGGAGAGATGTTCCATTTAGTGGATTCTATTGGATGGGTTATGAAAGAGTTAAAAAATTTTTAAAAAATTATGCAGAGCCTTTTAAAGGTTTAGATCCAGGAACATCTGAATTCTTTAGGAGTTTTATTTCTGGAGGAATAAGTGGTTCTATTGCTTCATTAATTACTCATCCTTTTGATTCTGCCAAAACACGTCGTCAAATTCGGCACAACAGTCTTGGAACTATTTCTGTTAAAAAAGAAAGTACTTGGAAAGTTATGAATGATATTTTTAACGAGTCTGGTCTGAGAGGTTTGTTTCGGGGTGCTGTTCCGCGAATGCTTAAAGTGAGCCCTGCATGTTCAATAATGATTTCTAGCTATGAACTTGGTAGCTTCCATTAAATTTTCAATGAAATGTATTAATTGGTACTAGGTAAAATGTTTTTCAGTCGTTCTTTGAATATTTAGTCATTGTGTATATTTTTTCTTGGCTATAATTTTTACTTTGTCAATTAAATCTGTATTTTTTGTCAGTTATTGGTCTTTGTCTTGTATATTTTTTTTCGGAAATTTAATTGACAAAAATATACTAGAATATTAGATTATTTTGCGGCATGTATTATTATATCATAATAATTGGGAGGAATTAGTTGATATTTGAAGATTACTTGATTATACTTGTTTTGGACATTGCTTCTACTAATGTGCTCACAATTAACAGATTTTTATATAGGTATTTTTATTTTATTTTTATTCTTAAAAAAAGATATAAGAAATATTATTTGGTATTGCTACCTATTTTTAATTTCCACCTTACTAGCATTTTGTTATTGCCTTTATTTTTGCTATTCAAATACACCTTAATTAATATACATCATTTTTGTTAATTACTAATCTAATATTTATTTTGTTTTTTATCTTTTATCTATATTATCTTATTTGCATTATTTTAAATATTCTAAAAAGATGAAAATAGTATCGACAACTGCAGGATTCGAACCTGCGTAGGCAAAGCCTATTGGCTAACTAAATCGAGATAGCAGGCCAACCGAGTAACCACTGTCGCAAGTTGTCAATCTGCGAAACGTCTCAGGAAAATTATATTTATATGGTTTTTTTATTAATGAGAAGATATATTTATATGTATATTTATGTAATTTCTACAGATGAAAAAGTGCATTTTTAATATTCATCTACACACAATAATCTAATAAGTCGCTGTTTGGAAGAAATAATGTTTTATTGGTTTTTAAGAGATGATAGAATATAAACATGTTTATACAATTATTTTTCTTTATATACATGCGGAGGTTGGTGGTTGTTAGATGAGGCAGAAGGCTCGTATGGCGGTACAGGCTGCTCTTGTGGCCAATGGTGATTTTCTGTTCCCGGCGGTATATAGGACGACATTGGCTGCATAGGATATCCGTATGGTTGTGGAGGAGGATATGTGGATCCTGGTACAGTCCACCCTGTATATCTAATAGGTCTTGTTCCTTCGGAAACCCTACACCAGTTTGTACAACTTCTAGGACTCAGTTTATCTTCATATAGTGTTCTCCAATTTACCAGATACATGTAAATATTATAATGCCCATAAGCAACATACTCAGTACTACCCATCGTCCCCACTGATTCCAGCGACTATAACAATCATATCTTTCCTGTAACGTTGACTTATAGTCACAATAATGCCGTTTCCAAAGTACTTGTGTAGCATTTAGTGTTAGGTCTATGGATCTAATCATAATGATTTTTAAAAAAAAATGCAAAAAAATAAATTTTTGGAAAAAATAACGATTTTTTCTGAAATAGCTATATTAAGATGACTTAACAATCCAGAATTTTTATTTTATTTTTTATTTTATTTTTTAAGTAATGCTGGATATCTGTTTTTGCTACAAACGCGTTAATTTAATAAAATAAATACGTGTATTTGTGGGGAAATTTTTAGGATACTATATTTGGAAACAGTTTAGAGCAGAAGAAATCTTTAAATGAGATATATTGAAGGCAAATGGTATAGCTAAATATTAAAAGAATATGGTTTTATTAAGATAGTTATTGGGTATTTTTTTGATTAAGCGAATTTTGACGATATTTTAGATATATTTTTAATGATAGTTATAATGATAGCTTGAATAAAAATAATATTTATATTTGAACTGCAATTACATTTTGAGATTTAATGATGTTTTAATGACAGTTTGTGTATTTATATTGTTATTTTTAGCTTCAGGGAAGCTATTTATTAGTGCGTGTTTCAGGTGACACTATAAAGGTGTCTTATATATGTTTGCAAAAAATGTTAGAAATATAGGAGAGTAAAGTAGCGTATGTAAATTTAGTATATTCATTGTGTTTTGTGTTGAATATTTAGACATTGCCTGACAAAAGTTATTTAGTATGGTATCCGCATCTAATTAGATTTTGGATTTAAGTTTGTAGAAAGGTACATGTTTTACATATTTTTATTTAGCGAAGTTTTACTCTTAGTCTTATATTTTCTGGATCATAAATTGTTGTAAATTTGGCATTTTATGTTTTTATATTGGTATTATTTTTGATCATTCTTCTTAAGTTTTTTGGTTTTTGTTGTTTTTATTTCTTAGTCGAGGATTTTTATATTAAAACATGAACTTTTGAAATAATTTTATGAAAGATATACTTTGTATATTTTTAATTTTCATGTTAGTATGTGATTAGGGTAAGGTTAGGTTAAGGTATCGGAGGATTTCGGATGTTATGTTCGGTATTGTATAGTTAAATTAGAAATTTAATTGAAGAATTGTATAGGAAGTTAAAGAGGAATAGGTTATTGAAAAGTTATTTTTTTACATTTTCTATATATTTGGTGTGTATTTTGAGGTTAGTTTTAAAGACGGTTTTTGGTGATTCAAGATGAGCAATTCTACTAATACAAATATATTTGAAACAGCATATCATGCAAGTGTAGATATTATAGAACAGATTAAAATTGCATATTCTACGCCAAAAAATTGCGTTAGTAGTTATTGGTGCCTGATTCCGATGATTTTGCTTATTTTGATTGGGATTGTTATGTGTAAGTTAAGTGAACAAATGGTAATAAGTTGATATTTGCCTAGTACTATCTATTTATTATTACTTTGTGACTATTGTGCGTACGTGTTGTTGTTGTTTTTTATGTAAGCCTTCGACTCGGTTTGCGAGAGCAGAACCAACTGTTGTTGTGCAGCCGGCTGTTATTCCATCTTACCCTGTATATTCTTACAAAGATTATGGACATAGAAATTATGGATATGATGATCATTATTTTAAAAATTATGGTTCTAAGGATTTTTCTGCATGGAGACCGCATAAAGCAGAGATTCGTCATAGAACAGATGCTTGTTATGATTCTCCTTCAAAGTCTATGCTGAATCCTGTGTTTCCTCAAAAATCTCCATCTGAGAAGAAGTTGCTTGAGTTTGATAAGCAGACATCTCGGGTATTGCCTGCTGATATTTCTTATGATGAGATGTCATGTCATTTTTCTTCAGATTTGCCTTTGGAATTAAGTAGTATATATGATAAGGAGAATTCAAGAGATTTTTGGGAGAATTATGAAGTGGAGTCTCCTTCTAAAGATTCCGATAAACAAATTTCTCATAGAAAGCATCTTTCGGAATTTTCTGTTAATTCTATTTTTGGTTGTTATACAGATCTTAGTCGACAAAGTTCAAACATTAGTGTGAAAAGAATAAAGTCTGGTCAATATATGGATAATACTACATCTCGTACTGGTGTTTTAAATGGAGTAGAGAATATATGTTATTCTCCGGATATTTATAATAAAACTAGAGGTTATTCAAAATTTTAATTGTTATATATTGTTTTTAAAAATATCGTATGAGATTAATTCGATATTATAATAAATGGCTGTTTATAAGGACAGGGTAGTAAATGTTTGTTTTTATTGTATCTTGATTTTTTATGCGGAGTTGATTTGAATGAATTAATATAGGTTATTTCAGGAGGGTACTGACTATATCTCAAATATAATTATATTAGGATATTGTATTTTTTATAAAAGTGCAATATTTATGGGCTATATGTTTTTAGAATGATATTTATTTTATTTATTTCGATTTCTGCTTTTTTATCTTAAGTATTTCATATAGTAAACTGTTTTTTTAATTCTGTAAAAGTTTTTATATTCTGTATTTTATAATGTTTAAAATAATAAAAATATTGAAATCTAAACATATAATTTTATGAAAATCTTATTGTTTATTTTGAAAGCAAATATATTTTATAATACTGTTATTTATGTTAAATATACTGAATTATAAAAAATATATTTTTAGATAATTTTGTTAATTAAAAGATTTAATAAAATTGAATATTTTTAGAAATATTTTTTAGAATTTTTATAATTATGAAACATATTGTTGTTATTGTATTTTTTTATGTTCTATTTTGATTCATGTTTATCTGGAATTTGTTTTACAGAGTTAATTATTTGAAAAATTTTTGATCCTTGCTGGTCTTCATGTATATAAAACCATCTCTTTTTATCTTCAATAGACTCTATATTGGCAAAAAGTCTTCCGTTTTTATTTTCTTTTAGTTTTTTTGAGTTTCCTGTCCATATGATTTTTTTTCCTAAAAGATTTAATGTTTCTATTTGAAACTTGTCATTTGAATATTGTGCTTTTGTAACATAAGGTGATAAAACAAAGTGTATTAGAGCAGTAGAAAGTGATGTTGTGCTGAGTGCTACAATATAATAAGTATATTTTTTAAATGTTTAGAGAATACCAATAGTTATCATAATAATTTTGGCTGGAAAATCTATATTTGCCTCAGTAAATAGAATAATTGGTGAAACAAGATATGTTAAACAAAGAGATCCTACTGAAAAAATTTTTATGGATTTTAATGAAGAAACAAGATGTCCGGAATATGTTATTGTATATGACTTAGTTGCAGATAAATTAGAAGAGATAGGATGGTTTTGATATAAATGACGTTTGTTTGGAGCTTTTTGAAAAACTTTAGTAACAGTGTTTAGTATATAAAGATTAAATATTTTTAACATTAAAAAATATTTTTTAATATTGAAAATTAATAAATATAAGGCTTAACAAAAAAAGTTTTGATGTAAAAATGAATGGCTAATGCAAAGTCTACAGATATTCTGAAAGAGAATATTGATTACTGTATTAATATCTTGAATTGCGAAAGTTGGTTTTTTTAATGTAAAATGTTTGCTTCTAAAAAAATATCTAGTTTTTAAATGAGAAATATACTTTAAATTTGTATACCATATTTACATAGTGAAGTTTGAATGATATAATTTGTTTTTTTAATTCGTTTATGCTTTTTTTTGAAATATTTTTTAAAGATTTTTATAAAGTAATCTGTAAAAGATTAAATTATCTAAAATATTTTTATGTTATTAAGAACGATATTTCTTAATGTACAAAAAGTTTTTTTTTTTTATTGAAAATATTTTTTATTTTTTTTTGAATTTGTGAATGTATGGAGATTTGTAAATTATTAACAAATAGTAATTATGTATGAAGGATTTCAAAGATTTGCAAAAAAATGTAGGAAATATGCTTTAATTTCTATGGATTATGATGGGCCAGAACTGTCTTTTATGGATGATTCTTATGAATCTAAGTTGGATGGAATTATTAATGATTTAAATCTGAAAATTCTTTGGCAAACAGATTTTCTTCAGAAGGTAATCTTTTTTGAAAAAAGGTGTAAAATAATGAAATAAGATTAAAGATTCTAATGGAATTAAGTTTGAAGCATTCACAGACATAAAAACGTCTAATATTAATCAGGTTTGTATGAATAGAAATGTTTTAAATGTTTTTATTAATCATCTATTATTTAGCATGAAAAAGCCCAGAGAGAAATGCTTTCGCAAATAAAACATCGTATAGATGTGTATGAAGAGTATTCTCGCACTATGGATTTTACAATTGATGATACTCTTCTTACTAATTTACTTGCGCGACGTAAAATCCAAAAAAATACGATAGAAGCGGAATTGGCGTTGGAAATGTTGAAAAAGAAACTCAAGAATACGTTTTTCT